AAATAATAATTTAATGATAGTATTTAATAATAAAGAGTCCTCTTTTTAGTTAATAGTAGTCTAGTCTGAGACTGTGAGTATAGTTGCCCAGGTGGGTTCTTCTGCCAGTGGACATTTTTATACAGTTAAATATTTGACAGCAAGGTTAAAAAGTGGCTCCATTTGGCTTACTGACAAATAAAAGCAGTAGATTTTTTTGTGAATCAAATGCTTTTGTTAGAAATCCTTTTTAGTTTTAGCAGAGTTCATGAAGGTGATACATAGAGCTATTCCATTTTAAGATTATTGGCCATTCTTTCATTCCATAGGTTTCTTAATGCCAGTGGAATTGGCAGTAGGGAGAGGACAGTAAGTAAGTTGTAATGTGGAACAGTATTTGGCTATAGAATGCCAAGACTTCAAAAATGTTACAGGAACTGTATTTAGTTTCTTCTGCTGATACAGTATCCTGAAATACTTCAGTTGTACTGTATGCCGTCATCTCTTGAAAATGCTGTAGTGCCTTCTATAATACGAGGTGAGGCACTGGCACAGATTGCCCAGAGAAGCTGTGGCTGCCGCATCCCTGGCAGTGTTCAGGGCCGGGTTGGATGGGGTTGGGAGGAACCTGGTCTAGTGGAAGGTGTCCCTGCCTGTGGCAGGGGGGTGGAATTTGATGATCTTTAAAGTCCCTGCCAACCCAAACCATTCTATGATTCCGTGATAATTTGTCTGTATTTAAAAAAAAAACAAAACTTATGACAATAGTCTGCTCGTTAAAGAGTGCATAAAAGAATAGGAAGTTGCTAGGATCTAAGGATAGTAATGGGTGTGGAAAAGACCAAACAGTGATTGCAAGAGCCAAAAGTACAAGCACTGAGGAAACCTTCTGCCAAAAAAAATAATCTTGCTAGTAAACAGATTTTGCAACAGGCTAGATAGAGTCCTTGCTACCTAAAAGTTTTGGGACCTGTTAAGTTTCTTTCTAAATGAAGAGTTGAAGTGCATTATTTTGTGATCAGTGAAGAAGATACAGGTGAACCTGTGTGGTGGTTTGGAGGTCTCTCTGTTTCTTTTTTTTTTTTTCCTTTACTTTCAGCTTAGCCTTTTTGCCATGTCTTGTTGGTGGGCTGGACTTGTAAACACATACAGAACCTCCCCGGGATTGAGTCTTTCACAGTTTAGGTTTAACTCTTCTAGGTGTTTACTAATAGCACAAATGAGACTTTGGTAAATAGCCTTTGCTTCAGTAAGCAAATGGAAGGTTATGTTTTTGAAGGTGTAGATAACAATTTAGTTACTCAGTCACTGGTATTTTAGGCTCATTCGAGTTTCTTGTTTCCTTTTGGATAGGACAGAAAAGTAATTGTGAAAACTATGAAGACATATATTGAAAAAATAGCAATGGTGAGTGTTCATTTATTTCATAGTCTCTGAAATACAAGTGATTTGGTAGAGGCTAATTTGATTGTACTTTGGTACTGGAAGCTGTGAGGTTTTAATAAAACTAGGTTTAAAATAGTGGTGATGTATTATAGTATAAAATAGATGTATATAGTATAAAATAGAATGAACTTTATGGAATATTTAGAGACATATTGACAAGCTTCATTGTGGGCACTAAATATAGTCCTTTGAAGTAGCTGAGTTAATTTTAAGTCCTATATTATGTATATTCTGTAGTTCTTTTTTAAGCCCAGCTTTACATTACATCTTCATATGGCTCATTGGTTAATTTTTCTTGGTTGGGAGTAAAATAACAGGTATACAGAAGAGGAACTAAAGTTAAGATGTGTTGGGTGGGTCCCAACATAGTTGAATGTGCCAGTGTGTCCTGGGTTCAGCTACAGCAGTCATTTCTTCTCCTTCTTAGTAGCTGGTGCAGGGCTGTGTTTTTGACTTTCAGTCTGGGAACAAGGCTGATAACACCGATGTTTTTAGTTGTTGCTCAGTAATGTTTACTCTGACCAAGGACTTTCTCAGTCTCATGCTTTGCCAGAGAGGAGGGGAAGCCAGGAGGAAGCAGAGACAGGACACCTGACCCAAACTGGCCAAAGGGGTATTCCATACCACAGCACGTCATGCCCAGTATATAAACTGGGGGGAGTTACCCGGAAGGCCCAGATCGCTGCTCGGGTCGGGCTGGGTATCGGTCGGCGGGTGGTGAGCGGTTGTGTCCTTTTCCCTTGTTATTCCTCTTATCATTATTACTGGTAGCAGTAGTGGTTTGTATTATACCTTAGTTACTGGAGAGCTGTTATCTCAACTCGTGGGAGTTACATTCCTTCGATTCTCCTCCCCATCCCTCCGGGAGCGGGGGGAGGAAGGAAAAGGGGGGGAGTGAGCGAGCGGCTGCGTGGTTCCAAGTTGCCGGCTGGGCTTAAACCATGACACAGTGCCACTTGAATGTGCGTATTTCTTACATGTTGTTTTCGGGTTTTTTGTGGTTTTTGTTTTTTTTTTTTTGAGTCAGGGAGGTTAAAAATGAATTAATGCTGAAATAGCATACAATGAAAGAAGTCTGCATTTTATTTTTTTCTGAGTAACATATATGTTTTGAGACTGCAGCACCAACAGAGTAACAGTTGCAACTGGATTTCATAGTTTAGGGTAAAACTGCAACTGTGAAGAGCTTTTTTAAACTTTCCTTCCTGGTTGTATTGTTCTGTTTACTAATAGTTGATGTAGTCTAAATCAGTGGTCTCCAAACTTCTGGTCACACAACCCTAACCATGCATCTCAAATATATGTATATTTATGTATAAAAAATGTACATGTACTACTGTACTAGTATACGTTATAAAACATACACAGAAGTAGAAATTTTAGAAAGGTGATATAAAGACAACCAGTGGTTAATTTTATATGTTTATTAATAGTACAAAAAATATTTTCTTCCTGCTTCACAATGGACTGTCTTGTGCAGCCCAATTTGGAGGGCTGTTTTTAGTAATGTTCCTCTCCATAATTTTTCTACTACCAGAATAAATTTTGTTAAATATATATTAGATATAAATACGAGACAGTGGGCAAATAATGGCTAAAACAACTCTGGAGCACTGACAGTCTGGCTTTGCTTAGATACAAAATCTCATTGACACATAAGTGAATTGAGTCGTGCCCTTCTGAGTATGCTAGATTTACTCTCCAACAATACAGTAGAGACTATGTGGCTTATTGCAGAAACATGATCTCCAAAAATATGGTATGTGATTTATCGCAGTTTTAAACAAATACCTTATAAATCTGTATGTAATGTTCTGGCGAGGCAAATCCTATGATTACCAATGGTAATTATACATTGGATTAGGTAAATAGCTTGGATGCAATAAACCAGTGTATCAACTTCTAATGGCAGATCAACTTAATCTACCTTTCTTTTAACAACATGCCTCTCTTAGCAGGCCTTGTTTTCAGTGACAGCCTAAGTGTTGGGCTTCTCTCATTCTGTACAATGAACAGAATTTGCATTTGTTCATGTTGTGTCACATTGGAGACGAACTCTCAGAAATGTTGATCCTAAGTCAATTAGTATATTCACAGAACTTGACTGCCTGTCATTTCTGATGTCTCATCTTTGCAGGGTGAATTTTCTCATCTGGTCTTGCTGGCAGCATTTGATTGCATCGATGACACTAAACTTGTGAAACAGTTAATTCTATCAGTAAGTAATCAAATCTTTCCTAAACAGTGTACAAATAGCATTAGTGTTTCTCAGTTTATAGGAAGATGAGAGTAGGAATCCATCTGCTTTTTTCAAACCATTTAATTAATTTCCCCTTTTTCTGTTTAATTATATTTGTGTATCATGTTTATTTTTTTCCCTTTCATAGAAGACCTCAGCACTTTCATGTGTTCTCTTTACTTATTTATTTGAAATAGTTTTTAAACTAGATTCAGTGCTGGCAGAAAAATACCCATTTTGTACACGTTCATTCTGGCTAATGGATGACTGGAATTTCTTTTGGTTGGATGCTGAAACCATTAATTCACGTTAATCCTCAAAACTTGACATTTTTACTTAATATGTTGAAAATTAAATTACATTAATATTCTGGATAAGATCCATACAATATTTTTATCTTCTTCCAAAACGGATGCAGATAGATGTCTGAAACATGACAGCACTTAAGCTGTTCTGCTTCACCTACATGAAATTGCAGAATGACATTAAGGATAGTATGCTTCCTTTCGGAATGCCCCATTTCCTCACCTTCCTTCCAAAATTATTTACTAGGGTTTCACATAGTGTTTGCACTTTAGATTTTGTTTGCATTCAAATTTTATCACTTCTAAGATGTTTTAATCTGTAAATTATTATAAAGTTATGTTTTCACACTGGTAAAAGAGACTTCATAATGCACAATTAGTTTTCATGGAAGGAGGATAATTAACATTTATGTATAGGTTGTAATGTGCTTATAGTAGTACTCATGCTATAACTTTTAGGACTGACAGGTTGGGAGGCAGTGGCAGGGAGATAAAGATGGGGCAAATACTTTGCATGTGGACTGCCAAGTTCAACACTAAACCATGTCACCAGTGGCCTCATCTACATGTTTTCTGAACACTTCCAGGGACGGTGATTCCACCACTTCCCTGGGCAGCCTGTTCCAATGCCTGATCACTCTTTCAGTGAAGACATTTTTCTTAATATCCAGTCTAAACCTCCCCTGGCACAGCTTGAGGCCATTACCTCTTGTCCTATCATTTGTTACTTGGGAGAAGAGACCAGCTACCTCCTCGCTCCATCCTCCTTTCAGGTAGTTGTGGAGAACAGTCGGATCCCCCCTGTGCCTTCTCCAGACTAAACAATCCCAGTTCCCTCAGCCATTCCTCATCAGATTTGTGCTCCAGACCCTTCACCAGTTTCATTGCCCTTCTCTGGACCTGCTCCTCTAACTCAATATCTCTGTTGTAATGAGGGTCCCAGAACTGAACACATGATGAGGCTTGCTTTAAAAAATAAGAACAGTTCTTCCATTGGGCAACTCCGTATAAGGGGGAATTGGGTTTTTGTTCCTAAGCACAAAGATACGTTCCTAAGTCTGCCTCGCTGGAGTGGAAAGATGAAGGCATCCCAGTGTGAAGATAACTTTTGTTTCTCAGGTATATTAGCTGTAGTCAAAGCTGGATTTTGTTTCTAGAGTCCAGTCTGCAATGTGACAAATTCTGGGCAAGTTCCAAGCAAGTAGACCCTGACAGATAAGTGCTGTCTTGGTACGAGATTGCTGTGGCATTCTGGTACTATGTTAAAAGCACTCTCCTTTTGGAGGGTTTATGAGTTCAGATACTGTTTGGCTTTAGCTGAGCTTTCAAGTAGTCATTTAAGTCCTGAATCATCTGTGGTTTTCCACCATCTGAAATGAAAGATAATGGAGTATTTACTCTTTGGTCGTCCTACTGCATCCATCTGGACAGAGGGTAAAGGGGAATAAGGACAAGTGGCCTTCACACATACAGAATTGGCCCATCTGGATTTACTGAAGTCAGGAACAGGGAAAGGATGTTGGGGAAAATGAAAAAATATCAAGTAAGATCAGCTCTTCAGATAGAGAATGAAAACTAGTAGCAGGGGATGAGGTGAAAGCATCAAGTGTTGAAGCATACTCCATGGATGAATCCAACCCTGAAAATTATCTTGAAGAGCAGTTAGACTTCTAAAACACCTTATACCAGATATCAGTCTGTCCATACTAAAATTTAGCTCTCTCTCTTTTTTTCCCCTCCCTCTTTCCCCTGCCTTTTTTTCTCTCACTAATCAGTGACATTGATGCATCTGATGAACACATTTTAAATTTGATTTTTTTTTTCCTGTCACTTTGCCAAACTCTCATTCTTATCAGAGGTTTTTAATTTAATTTTGCAAACAAATACGGATCTTACTAATATTATGTAGGTTTCCTTTCGTAAGCTTTGCATTTGAAATGTCATCAGTAATTACTGATGCCTCAGAACTTAATAATTCATTAATGTTTTGTTGCTGCTTGTTTACTTTTACAGGAAATAACTGCTGCTTTACCCAATATAATAAACAACAAATATGGAAAGAAGGTCTTGTTGTACTTATTAAGTCCTAGAGACCCTGCACATTTTGTTCCAGAAATCATCACACTTCTGCAACAGGGAGATGGAAATGCTTATAGGTATACGACAGTTAGATTTTTTATCTTGAAGTCCAGAAGAGTTCATGCAACTTTCTGTCATGATCAATTTCATTTCAGCTTTTCTTTATAGTATGTAAATATATCTAAATAATACCTAAGATTACTTAGATATGTTAATCTGTAGTCTGTATTTTTGCATTTTTGTTCAAAGTTAATATGTGATATTGGTAGTTACCCTCTTTGTAAAGGGCAAAAACTGTGATGTGTTCTTTGTTTAAACTCATACATCAAACTTGGCATAGCAGAAAATTTTTAATATGCATTATTGGTGTCTTGGGTTGCACAAAAGTATATCTCAAAATCTAAAAATGGAAATGAAAATTGTTAATTTGAATTCAGTCTCTGGTATTGACATTGATGCTTATCAGCTTTTAAAGAAAGAGCAATTTTTTATGATTAGTGAGCTGTTTAAGAAATAAATCTTAGCTACTGAGTTGTCAGAATGAATAGAAAACAATCAGGTTTAATTATTGCTAACAAAAAACTCTGTGAGCTTTACCAGCAGTCAGCTTTAAACACCACACACTTTCTCACTCCATGTGTTTTTAAAATGAGTATGTGGAATGTGTGTTTAGCAGAGGGAAGAATAATGTTTTGATTTTCTAATAGTTTATATCTGTCTCAGATAGCATACATGTCAGAGTTTCTTGTTGCTTGATGTGCATACCGAGCAAGTCTTCTACATTAATGCACTGTGTCTTTCATCAGTAAGAAGAATACTGAAGTCCGCCGTCGTGAACTCCTGGAAGCCATTTCCTCACCTTTGCTAGAATATTTACAAGAACATGCCCAAGAAGTAGTCATAGACAAAGCTACCTTTGTCTTGGTTGCTGACATCTTAAGAACATCTGTTGGTGACATCCAGCCTGCACTAGATGCAATTGCTAATTTAGCAGCAGAAGAGCTGGTTCCAGGTGGCCATGATGGGCAGGTAAATTAAAAGAGGACTAGTTTCCTGAAATCTTGCACAGCTTTTGCTTATTTTGCATCACTAACATGAAGTCTGCTCACTTTTTCCTTTATGTAATATCAGTGTACTGCCCTGATAGCACTTTTACATGAAACAAGATCTTTTTTCTGATACTCTTCATTCATAGTGGTGTTATTACTGCATCTGGAGAGAGAAATGTTTGAGCCAGCATTTCATATGAAGTTAGAGCAAGGTAGCTTATGTTTTTTAGTCTTCAGAAGTGCTTTAAACGCTTCGTAGGAAGGTAGCTGACAATCATGTTACACAGTCTCTCTTTTAATGTTACCACTATGCAGTCAAGCAGTTAGTAAATTTTTATAGTTCATTTGACTGTTGATTCTGAGAATGATGGGTCTCTTAGCTTTCAGGTATCTCTATCTCCATGCAAGGAAAGATCTTAGATAATAATTTTGTCTTTACAGCAATAGCTGTCTTTAGAGTATGACCTTCTCTTCAAAGTGTGCCCCTGCCCATCCCCTGTTTTGTTAAGCTCAGTCAGATAGTGTCTGTAGACTAGAAAACGAAAAATGCTGTGTATGCTGTATTTAAGATAAATGACCTCCAGATTTTTGTAGTTGTGCTGAATTTTCCTTGTCTTTCCCCTTCTTTAAGATGTGCATTTTACAGAATTTTACATGAACTACTCACGTTTTCTGGGATTTTCTGTGAACCATAATTTTCAAGTCTGTGAAAATGTGGAGAGTCTGGAAGTTCTTGTAGAGGCAGGTAGACCAATAGATATTGCTCAGTTAGCATGAGGTTCTTGGAGGGGTGAATGAAACTTTGGTTGATATGCTTTATTACTGGAAGTCAGATGTTCCAGGGAAGGTGGTAAAAAATAAACTGGTCAATTTAAATAAATACTCAGATACTTGCATCAAACTTGTCATTATTTGCATAAGTGATGACTAAATGGATCAGAGCGATGAGGGCAGAGTGGACAAAGCCAACAGGAATTTATGGACAGACATGTAAATGTGTATTGAAACATTCTTGTTAAATAACTTGGTTTTGATTTGGTTTGCTTTTTCCCCTTAAAGCTTCACATTGCAGAGCATCCAGCAGGCCATCTAGTTTTGAAATGGTTAATAGAACAAGATGAAAAAATGAGGGAGAGTGGAAAAGAAGGTATGTTGGAAATTCAGCTTTATTTGGTCAAATCAGGACTTCAGAGTAATCAGTTATCTGACCAAAAATAAGATTGCTGCAATTATTTCTTTGAATATACTAATGTATGGAAAATTGTAACATACTGTCTAAGATTGTTGCTTCTAGCTATTTGCTGTTGTGAGTTGTTATATGAACAGAATGCCAAGGATATGTTTTATTTTTCTCCAAAGGAAGTACTGGTTTTGTTCTCAGGGGCTTACTATGTATTTGGCACAGGGTTCATTTTTGTGCCTTGATAGCTTTGCTAAATTACACAGCCATTTAAAGCATAATAATAGAAAAAGTAAAGTCTTTCTAACAGGAAGACTTGTTTCATTAGTGCTTGTGAGCCAAACTGTAATCTTTACTGCTGGGTTAATGCTTTCTGTTACTACGATAATTCATGCACAAAAATAGGACATCTTTGCTATTTTATATCCCAGAAGGCAGAGACTGGGCACAGATGTTCTCATCTTAATTTAGCTTTTAAACTTATTTTATTACATAACTGTAAAATCTTGTTGTGTGAATCACCATATCCTAATAGAGATTACTCTTACTCATACAAAACCCTCAAAAAACGAAAGGAGGTGGGAGTAACATAGGTTAGAGTTTGTTGGCATCTGTTGGGTTTTTGGGTTGTTACTTGTAAGTTTGCTCAGCAGCAAACTCTTAACAGTTGTAACAGCAATTTTCCTGAAGTTCAATCCTTCAAATTCAGCTGGGTAATTGAGGTCAGCCTAGATTCTTTCTCTTGCATATGCCATTGGTGTAATGAATCTGCAAGTTAGCCTTTCAAAGCTGCTGAGGAAGTAGAGCCCTGTAGCATTGGTACAGCTGAAACAAACAAGGTTCCCTTGTGGTTTTCATGCATCAATAAAGGATTAGCTCTGAAGTTTTAAGTAACGTAATCTGTAAACATTATGTTTCTTCAGTTGTAGTCAGATGCTTACAAAAGTAGCATTTTCAGCAGAGGTGTGTGTGTATTAGTATTTTGCATATAATTATCTCTTGCTTGGGTGTCATTCTTTCCAGTTTCTTTCTTTAAGTCTTCCTTAAGGTGTGAATAGACTCTGGCACCTTTTTTTTTTTTTTTTTAAAAAAAAAAAAAGAGGGTAGATTTAGATTAGACATAAGGAAGAAGTTCTTTATTCTGAGGATGGTGAGACACTGGAGCAGGGTGCTCAGAGAAGCTGTGGATGCCCCATCCCTGGCAGTGTTCAAGGCCAGGTTGGACAGGGCTTTGAATAACCTGGTCTAGCAGAAGGTGTCCCTGCCCATGGCAGGGGAGCTGGAACTAAATGAGCTTTAAGGTCCCTGCCAGCCCAAACCAGTCTATGATTCTATGAAACAGCATGTTTGCCTGCTTTACATTAGTAAACTGTCACACAGTGCTGCTATTGTCTACTAATTTAAAGCAATACTTGGAAGTTGTCAGACATCTATAAATGTATTCATTGCATTGAATAGTCATTTATTTTGCAGCAGAAAAACTTTATGAATGCTTGGGGGCTTAAAACTATTTGATTAAACCACAAGTGCAGAGAAGTTTTAACAGGCTTCTTTGTATAAAGATATTGTCTAATTCTTTGTCTTCTCCCTACTCCTTTCCCACATTTTACAGTTTGCTTTGGAAGAACATTGCTGGAACGTGTTGGTATTGAGAATATGAAGACCTGGGCAGAAGTAAATCGAGGCGCCATTATTCTTTGTTGGTACGTAAGGCACATGGGTATTTCTGATTATGTTCCAGTGTTAGTTTGCTGAACAGCTAAGAGAACATCAGTTGAAATTTCTACAAGCAAAATACCATTTTTTCCTGCCACTGCTAAGTCTGCAATGGAACAGGGTAGCAAAATTCAAACCAGAATTTCCATAGGTTTCTTGAGCTCAGGCTTTTACAGTACTAGGAAGTAGCTCACTGTTGGAAGATCTTAAAAGATTTGATTTAATCTTAAAGATTAAAAATTTAATTTAACAATTGTGCCTGTGAGTCTTGTTTTACAAGCACAAAATTCTCAAAAGAGCAGTCCACAAATAGCTGCATTAAAATAATTAACTCTGAAATAACTGTAACTGTCAGCAGCATGCAAGAATTCTTTTCTTTTTTGGTTTGGGGGTTTTTTGGTAACTTATTCATGTGTGTTGAGGCCTTAATTATGGAGCTAAGTATGTCTCATACTGAAGTAGAAAAGTGTTTGAAATAGACCATGTGAAAGAACAGATCATGCAAAGGCTTGTGCTGAGCTAACTGGCTCACAACTTTGAAACAGTGAACTGTGCAACTGGTGAGATGAAAAAGACCACACAGGAATTGGACTAATACTAATATTTTGTTTTATCAAATGTGAACAGTTGTGTTAATCGTTGCTGTTTTCACTTTGTAACTACTTGTCAGTGTCAGGTCACAGAAACCCAAGTTTTTGTTCTAACCCAGAGTGGTCTGTGTTCTGGAGCTGCTGGGTCAGCATTGCTCAGCTAACTCATCAGGAAGAGTTGCACTGAGCCAAAGTCAGCAAATGGTTCAAACAGACAACATGATTTTGAAAAATAAAAACCTCTTTTCCCTTGTTTCTACCCCCCTTTCTCTCTCTCCTAAAGTTACTTCAGACTCCTTGCTGTTTATTTTCCATCTCTGCTCTTTATGACTTTAGTGTGAGGCTGTTTTGATGTTCATGCTCTTTTGCACGGTGAATCAAAAGCTGTTTTCACTAATAGGACTTCTGTTAGTTAATTCTAACTTTGTTTAGTTGTCATCATTCAGAGCATTAGTGAGAAGACTTAGCAGTAGAAAAGTAGCTGCAATCCAGATACAAAACCAGTTTACACAACATCATAATAGTCATATTTGGCTATTAAGATTGTGCAGCTGCTGAAATAATAGCACTTCTTTGCCTTTCATAATAGGTCTTTAGAATTCAGTAAATGCTTCTAATGCCTTTAAGTTATGTGTTCCTGTGTGCAGATGTTCAGTGGAGATTTGCTGTAAAGGCTTGTTCACTGACAGTGTACTGTACCAATGCCTAGACTTTTTTTTCTGTAACTCAAGGCTGAGCAGATTCCTTTAGCATGTGGTGTTGCTGGCTTATGTATAAAGCTGTTTTGATTGTCCAAATGAAGTTACAAAGTAAGTTAATGGAAATAACTGCTTAGCTTCACCATGACAACAGTCTCTTAATAGGTACTGAAGACTGATAGAAGAAACAGGAAACTAGTAATTGTTCATTAGCAAAAAACAGCACAGAAGCAGTGTATTCTGTGGAAAAGCGTGTGACAAATGTCAGTCTTTCCCTCTCTGCTATTACTCATGGCACTACAGGGTGAAACTTCAACAAGTGCTTTGTTGCCAGGCAGGGAAGCCTGTCTCCCAGATTGGCAGTTAAACATTTTTCACCAATGTTGAAACACACCTAACAGGAAAGAGATAAAAATATGGGGGAGGAGTGCATGTTTGTTTGCTGTAATTTTGGTTTTAATTTGTTTTGTTTTTTTAATTTTAATTAAATCTGAGTCCTTTGTAGATAGAACGTCTCTTGATGGCTCTTGCCATGACACTCTCTCATTTGGGCAGCTGAGAACACACAAAGAAAACCAGCTGCTTTCATTCCATTTCACGTGGCACCTGCTTACCTCACTAACAGTTAATTAACCTCATTTTTGTTTAACTGCATGCACTGAAGCTGAGATGTTACCTAAATCATACAGCAGGGATAAATTTAACTTAGCCTGGTATAGATAATAACTGCAGTATTCTTTTACATAAAATAATTGTTGAGTTTTAAAAAAACTCATTTAAAACCGAACAGATACTTCTTTTGTCATGAGGGATGCAAGATCCCTCTGACAGAGGTAATTTTCAGACACTGACAGTTCTCCCTGAAGCAATGATTGATTTTTGTTTTCTTGTTGGCTTTCAGAAACCATCTGTCACTTATGTGCATATCTGAAACTCAGGATTACCCAGTCACTCCATTTGAAGATTTTTGGCTTTCTAGTCATTTAAGCTTATTCACCATTTACAAGTGGTTCATTGTGTGTGTTTGATTGCTTAGTTACTTGGTATCCTCTGGATGCTCCCCTTTCACTGTCCTACTTAGCAATTTGATTTTAATTAGATTTTTACTAAAAAAAAAAAATATCTGGGGCCTCGTTCTGGCCTAGTACAAGCGTGAAGAAATTATGAGAGGGTTCTTTGCAGATGTTACAGGTATTATTAAATAAAGTGTTGTAAGTACTTGAATGTCATGGATGCTGGTCTGTTTATGTTTCTACATCTGACCTCTCCTCAGAATTTTTGGATTTCTGAATGGTCTGTTACATCAGGGTAGAAAATGGATAAAACATAGACTTACTGATTTCTGTATGTCATTTCTATAACCAGCGTAGTCGTGGGCTGGATCCTTTGGCCTAAGAGAAGAGGCTGTGGGACCCGGGGTAGTTTATCTGGGAGAAGGGATGGCTTTGGGGGCACTCAGCAGCATCCCCAACACCACAGAAGGGCATGGAGGGGAGCTGTGCTATTCTCAGCAGTGAGTGCATGGCTGGAGGGTGAGAGGCAGCAGCACAAGTTGAAACGCGGGAGGCTCAGGCTGGAGATAGGGAGAAGCCTTTTTTCCCATGAGGATAGCCCAGCAATGAGGGAGGTTGGGCTGTCTCCTGCAGTTACAGGCCTGGAGCAGGTGAAGACCTGAGCAGCCTTGTCTGACCCAGTGTTTCAGCCTAATTTTAGCAGGGATCTGCAGTTATTTCCAGCCTGGTTTATTCTGTGTTGTGTTCTCATTTGGTGTTTCATGCTTTCTGGAAAGTTTTACATCTTTTTCTAGTAGGAGGTAATAACATCTGCCTTGAGCTATATTATTTGTAAGGAGGTACTGTTTTCTTACATGGACGGCTTCTTTTCCTATGACATACATGCTGAACTTTGACGTCCTTATTTTGCTGTTTCTTGCAGCCTTCTACGGAGCACCGATCAAAAAGTGGCAAATGCAGTCAAAAAAGGACTGAAAAAACTTGTCCCAAAGTTGAAGTTAAATAAAAATGTAAAAGGAATAGAAGCATTACTGGAGAAATTGACTTCCTAGTGTAAATGAAGCTAAAAAGACAATTTACATCAATGCAATCAGCTGAGAGTTGGTAAGATTTTGCATCGTGGTTGTTTTAAGACACAGTATATGCATTTGTAAATTAAATAATTTCTAAACCAGCTTGTCTGTTGTACTTACTCTGTGATGTACTGTAAATGGTTGTTCTCAGAGACTGAAATCTCAGGAACATTTAGGAGCTAGTGGAAGCTTCTGAACATGTAATCTAATCAACGAGTTAAATCTTGCCTGATAACCTGCACAAAAATGTTTTGAGTTTTGTTCAGATTTGCATGTAGGTTGTCCTAATCACCATGGAAACAGAGCATCTGTTCTGGAGATGCTGTGTACTGGGCAAATAAGTACACTTGTGCTTAATCCCTTTCCCTCCTGGGTTCCTCAACAATCAAAGCAGAAAAACAGCTCAAGTCCCATTCTTACCCTGTGAAGGAGTGATGGAGGGTCTCATCTTTCAGGATCTAATAAGAATAGAATGAAAATAGTCTCTCTGACTTTTCACAAAGAAGGTCTTGAAGGAGAAGCTGACTGTTTGGTATTATTTTCCTTAAGTCTTCTGATAAGTACAGACTTTTAAGGCCTATAAACCAGAGGGATTGGGGTTTTTTTGGTGTCTTCCTTGTAATAGGGGTGAGATGAATTTTCTTCTGCATGATATCAAATAGGTGTCCTGTTTATTTCTACTGTACCCTATTTTTGATAGAAAAATCAAGCCAGTATTTTATCTTCTCATTCTAAGCAAAGGGGAAAACAAACAAACAAATAAAACCAAACCTTTCTTGGTAAGGCATTCATACAGTACCCTGGCGGTTTCATTCCATGCTGATAGACTAATCCAGAGGACCAAGTTATTTCAATCCTTAACTATAGGAGTCACTCTTTACTGTTGCTCCCTTTTTTATAGTAGATAGGCATTATTTTCTCCTAAAATACAGCTCTGTTAACAAAGTACTAATTGGAAGTTGTCAGTGGTTAAGTACACTGGGTTAAGTTTCTGTCTTTTACGTACCTCAGATTAGACTCCTAAATTACGAGTTTATTGTCAGAGGTCATGATACAACTACTCCTGCAGTCCCTTGGGAACTGCAGTGCTCAGAGCCCAGGAAAATCAGATTACCCAGAAAGACAGACTTGCATACTTAGCATGAAGTAAAATAAGCTGGTTATCTAGGGAGCACCTGTATACAGGTGCTGGAGTTAAGTGCGTTTTCTAGATTTGTATGTTTAAGTATAAATAGTTTATCCAAAGCAATAAAATACATTGTTTCATCTTAATAAGTAATTTCTTGTTTCTCACCAGTCCTGTCTAGGGGGAATATTTTTTATTATTAAAAATTACAAGGTCATAGAATCACAGAATAGTTAGAGTTGGA